ATACAGGCCCCTTCAGCGTCACCAACAGGTAGTCGGCTCGCTGTTTGTCACTCCAGCCATTGATCTCACTCACTCTCGAAAAGTGAACAAGGTAATCCTCAATGCAAGAGGCACCTGGCCTTTACCCGCAGTACCGCTCCGGTGTATGCCACGCTTGCGTGCTGGCCAACCGCATTTGCAGCACTGGATCCGCTAATCGCGGTGTCCGTGTGCACTGCCGTGTGACTGCCCGCATGACGAGGCGTACAGCCGCTGCTTGTCCCGTTAGGACAGACTGGGAGCTGATAAACATTTGCGTCAGAGCGGTGCTCGTCTTCGCTGTCTGACTCGCTACACACTGTCCGCCACTGTTTACGAAGGTCCTCAGCGCGTTGTCTCCGGTGTCTTCGCAGGCTACGAGTTTTCTTTTGCCGGTCCGACTCGTCCTCCGTAAAAAAGGCTTGGTGTCTCTGACAAAAGCCGCTGCGGGTTATGTCCAGATTTGGAACCATATGTGCCCCGTCGTGAGCTCTCTGTCAGGGAGCGTTCAAGCCGTTCAATATCCCTGGAAATTCCGTCGATGGCTTCGGCGATGCTCCGTTTGGACGCCATGCGATTTGCCATCAACTTTAGCGTCAGTGGAAATCCTAGAAAATCCCACCGCTGCCACCAAATGTAGCGTAGACCTGGGTCCTATTGTCCCTCAAAACCCGGTAACGCAAAAGAGGGGGACAGATACAGGACTTCCAAAAAGAATTTCTTTGCATTATTGACCGAACTCGGTGCATGACCTTCCACGCGGCCGTCAGAACAACAACTACTGCCTTCGTGACACTCAGCTCTACAAAACACAGCATGTATCACAATTTCTGAGGCCGCCCAGGCACTTTTCCAATTTCCCTCCCACGTCCGCAAAACCACAACGCCCCAAAATAGAAACCAATTTCCGGTGCGCACCCAGCACAAGAGAAACAGGTAAGGGCACTCCGCCGGAGGCCATCCACCGACGGCCCTCAGCGCCGCCGGCGGCTTACGAAAGATTAACATGGCAATGAAACATGAAAAAGGCTATACAAATGTCCGTTACAGTATTAATCGTGTATTGATTAGCTTTTCGAATAGTTTCGAAAAAGTTGATAAAACAGAGATCCGTCTATAATTACCAATGTCATGTTTAGAGCCTTTTTATATATACCAGTATAACTTGAGCCTTTTTAATTAAAGTCCTCAGGGAATACTCCACATAATTTATTGAAGATATCAGCAGTATGGCCAGTGAATATTTAGCCTGCTGTTTTATAACAAATGAGCTCAATTTATCAAATCCAGAAGCCTTTCAAGTAAGAATTCTGTTCAGATGATCAACAATCTCTGGAGTAAAATGGAATGAATTCGAACACCTGTCACCTAAAAATTCATCAAAAGGGAAATTTCATAACGGCAGCTCATTGGCAAGTTTGCTCCCTATGTCAACAAAATACTTGTTCAGCAATTTCTTTGCTTTCAGAGATACAGTCAGTGCAAAAATAACCAGGATTCGGTTTTTGACTAGGCTTATTGAGTAGTGAGTTTATGAGTTTCCAGGTACCCTTATTGTTATTCTTTTGGTGATTGAATTTTTGTTAAATAGTTTTCTTCAATATCTTTATAACAGAATTGAGTTTATTTTATACAAAGCAAAGAAACGTCTTATATAAGTGGTTTTTCCTCCTGATAGAATCGTATAAAATACCCGCACTCACCCAAGGAGATTTATGCGATTTATCGAAACAATACATAACTAAAATCACGGGAAAATGTTCGTTAAAGAGTTGTTTTACATGAACTTAGATTGGATATCATTTAGTAACAATACACAGTTCCAGTCAGTTTCATTCAGATCACGAATAACGTTTTCAATGTTATCATCGTCTAAATCTCGCATGTTATAATTATATACGCACTAGCACTTTCACTTCAACCACGTTTGATTGAACATACCAGTAAATGGAATTTACACTGAATTCCTGGTACTTGAAAATTGAAATCTGAATCTATATTGTAACCATAACGGATTCATGAGTTACGTGACTAATTCAAATCGTTATACATAAAAAGCAGAGTAACACAAAGGTACAACAGGAATAAACATCTATGATGTACAGTCTTACACCAGAAAACACAAAACAAGACAAAAACAACAATTACATATTACGTAAACAATATACATGCATTAAAGATACAAGCAAACTAATGAAGCTTGTGATACATCATACATTTCTCCCCAAAAATGATATGATTTGAACGGGCCGTCACGGACCTTGTACCCGTATCATCGCCGGTACCGACCACGGTGTGTACGCGAAATGGACCTAGGCATTCTTCTATACGCCGTACATGATTTTCTCGTAGCTCCTTACGCTCAGCTCTCACTTTGTGTGTAACATTATCTGTGAAGAAAACGTTGTGACCCTTGAAGTCCTTGTTCTTGAGGTGTTTCGAAGCGTTCTTGAGGATGAACTCGATCTGCATATCGAAGAAGTCGACAGTGAATAGTTCTTTGACGTTGCCGAAAACTACCGACGAGTGCAGTCGGTAGTTGGCCAGTCCGACGCGCACGGGTCGATTTCAATATCATCAGCACCCTCGAGCTGCATGTGGTTTGTGAGGAAATCACTGACGAAATCGTCGCAGGGCTCCAAGCCAGTCTCCGAGCCCCCCGGCACCCCCTGTATGACAATACTGTTACGCCAGTTTCTGTTGTGGATGTCGCCACCTTCTGGAAGCCAGTCTAAATACTACATTCAAGCCATAAAGCAACATGGGATACTGAGGCAGCGTTCCGCTGGTAACGTTTGATACAGAAAATCTTTTAAATCACTTGCAGTTTTCATAGTTTAGTGACTTCGGTGATTTGAGGGGAAAGAATGAAGGCTTGGGAGAAAATCAAATGGCAGTGATTGGTCACAACACACGAGCATTTTGGAACGGAACTACCACCTCCTTTCTTAGATTGGGGAGGATTCTGGGACAGTCAAGTCCAGAAAGTCGTGTACAGAGGAAAACAAGCAATACCCACTTCCCTTCCAACATGGATATGACACTGAAATCAAAAGCGTGATTGACATCATGACAAGTACATGCATTCATCTAATTATTCGTCCAGGAGCAAGGACGATGGAAAAAAATTATTGTTCGATCGATTTCACTTTATACACTACCTTGCATTGCCAATTTGGAGAAAAACATGCCAACGTTTCCATTTACAATTAGATAATAAATTATTAATTTTATTTATGAGGCCTTGCATTCTTACGAATCAACAACAAATGTGAACATATTATGCTGAAAACACCTGACTTTAAATTCAATGTACTTAGAATTTGTCAAGCTGTTATTTGAACCTATTTTGTTTTTCACTGTTGCAGATGTGTATTGATCGATATGCCTATGTAATTTTAATTCAACCATTTTACTTTGCAGAACCACAACGCCCAAAGAAATGACTTTTTAACAGATGGTGCTGTATGAAGAGAAAGTTGACGACAGAGTTATTTTTGTTTTGCTCATTGTTTTGTTGTTTGTTATTTGAACCTATTTTGTTTTTCACTGTCACAGATGTGTATTGATTGATATGCCTACGTAATTGTAACTCAACCATTTTACTCTGTAGAACCACAACGCCCAAAGAAATGACTTTTTAACAGATGGTGCTGTATGAAGAGAAAGTTGACGACATTGAGTTTTTTTGTTTGCTCAACGAATGGGACGTTTGAGTCAGCGCGGGGAAAATCGAATCAATATCCGCCATGGTAGCCTCAAAGGGGAAAAAAGATCAAACGGATGGCAATGGGTTCACGCACTGTAACTTGGCAATAGACAGTGTAAGACTAGTTTAAGACCATGATGCTTGGATGTACGTATCACATGTGGTCTGCAGCAAACTAACCTCAGGGACAGCTCTTGACAGCTCTTCCCTGTGAGTGCGTAAGTGCATTGCTCACGCACCGGCGCTTACTATACAAACCCTGTTCATGTTGTGTTTCTCTTCATTTCGGAAGTACAACCCTTAATTAAATACAGCCAATGTGCTTTCGAAATGTATGAGAGTGAAAAAAAACCCACTCTTTGAAGAACAATTTGAGGACTTTTTCGAGTTAGTGGAGTCTTCAACTCCACTATAATGAAGTTTGCATCTTTTTGAGTGGTTTTCCCAATAAATACTCTTATTAAAGAGCCATAAAAGGGCTACTCAAAATTGACGAGCAGCGCCGTGTTATTCTTTCTTTCACATAGAGAGTGCGAAATTGTATAAATGACTTCCAGTTTAATTTAGTTGGGTATAGCAAGTACCCATCAAAAACACTGAGTACTGGACATCCTCCTTGTAAATCACCCAAGAGGATAAAGGGATTCTCAATAGTAAGCACCGTACCAACGTACATGTGAATGCGTGGACTGCACGTTTTCCATCTTGATAAGCACGCATCTATCCGGTTCGTAAGTGTGATGTCACTTCAATTCAAAACCCGCCCACTATACATAGAGTTACATGGAACCGGAAGTTTACCCGCAACTTGAGGGTGCACTGAACTAATTGAAGCCCCATTGAAGACAATGTAAACTCGACCACGTTTGCAGCCCCGGTGCGGGCAACCGAAGTCCCTCAGGCCTCTCAAACAAAAAACAAAGTGTTCTGGGGTCATTCAGCTCTCAATTGATTTCCAATTTTTAATAGGTTAACCAATGAAATTTTCAATTATCCACCCAAAACAAACTCACCTTCCAAAAAGTGAACGTTCCCAAGTCTGTCAGCGGCCATTTTTCAAATGACATCCCTCCACCTTTTCAGGCTCTTGGGACAATTTGGGAGCCCTTGAATCTAGGGAGTTCATTCTGGGCCATTCTTTTACAATCCCACAAATTCTTGGGCCACACAATCTCCTCTATTCCAAATAAACTGTAGGGGTACTTTTTCAGCGCCTCGGCCTGCCGAAGAATTTTCCTTGAATTGGGCAGTGCACCCTTGAGTGTTCGTCCAATGGAAGCCTGCGGTCAGTGGTGTGTGCGTGTACGACGAAGTCACCGACGAACCGGATACTTCCCGTAGTTATCCATTAAACTATGTTTAAAGTTCGAAAGGACTGGTCGACTTTATGGTGAAATTATCAATATTTATTACCTGTTGGACTTCAACAAGAAGGGTTGATGTGAATGGTCAATAGAACAAGCGTTGTTCATTTCACGTTGAATCTTTGTACATTAATTTGTAGTAAAATCCAGGCATGGGGTATATTCCTGTTGTCCCTGTAGGGCAATACTGACCGGTAAAGGCTTGTTAGACAAAAACTCATCATTACCAATACAATAACTAATCATCACTAATATAATAACTCTTCATTACCAACACAAAAACTCGCCATTTCCGGAAACAATGATATTAAACACAATTGCTGTCCATTATCAATTAAATAAAGACAAGTCATAAACTTTTAATACATCCCCCGAGTCTCCAAATATATTTCGAGCATGAGAACCATTCCTCGTAGAGTCTCCCCAGGATAATGGTCAACATTTTCCCGGCTTATTTCAACAACAAAACTTAAAATGCAATAGTTCAGTTCATCAGCTGTCATTTCCTCAAACGGAACTCCAATGGGACTCATATTGTAGCATGGGTCTGTAGCTGTCTTGTTGCCCTGTTTCTGCCAATCCCGGAAAAGTTTGGTGACGTGAGTGGATTTTCCTCATGGTAGCATCAACAAAACTGCAAAAAACAGTGCAGACAAGATTAACCTATGGAAGCGCCATTCTTTCGCTATTGCATGTGACAACGAAGTCTGACAATCGGGCTTCAGGGCTGTTTCGAATAGATCGACTACGAACAATCGGTCACCAACCGAATATTTGGATGGCAATTTGCCGGTTTCGAGTATAGAACGTATATCATACAAACATACTTAAGATGCTATTTTTGCCAATAAAGTATCTATATTAACAAAATATGCCCTCAAAATAATGTTGACCAAGGCTCCACAATGGCAATTACCACACGTAAAACATCCTGAATGTTTTACCTGCAACTTTTAACACGTAGGGTGCAGTTTAAGTTTACACTGGCACAAATAAACGATCAGCAAGTTTCGAATAATCGAATAATAAATTATTCTAAAACAAACAGCACGGGGCATATAAAGATCTCATTATCCTCCTCACCTCTTTTTCCCCTGCTGTCTCATTTCAGTCTCTGAGTGTGATTCTGTAAACCGCTTGCTAGATTGCACTGTAACCACCTGTTACTTTTGTTCAACTCCCACAGCATAGGCTGCAGTGGCCTCCTCTGTATCCGAGATATCAAAGTTGAACTGGGTCTTCATTAGCCAGCCTACAAAAAAACCCCCCAAAACAGAAGAATAGCAATATTTGACCCGATTCAAAATCCTGTAAAAGCACGTCTCTGTGGGAAATGATAAAAAACAGCTCATGTACGTAATTATTTTCTCTCAATCTTGCCTCTTTTCTAACTAGTGCCCGGCATTGGCAGCCTTGCTTGTTGACAAAATCAGAGCAGTCTCCTCATGTCCATCTTCAAAAATTCGACAAGCTTGACCTGCATCCTTTGTGTCATATTCACATATGGAATGGATTATAAATAGTCGACACCGTGACCCGAATCACTGTTCGAATCCATGTCACCCGTGGGACACGCGATAAGTACATGTACATGTGCAGCCTGGCACCCACAGCCAAACTGAATAGCCTAGCACCCACAGCCAAACTGAATAGAGGGATTTCACATTAGCTCTATCTGCGCATATCCGCATCGAAACCGAGGCTCTCTGTGTGGAACTTCATCGCACGCGCCCGCAGAGTCGACAAAGTACATGCAGTGTCCGGTTCGTAAGTGTGGCGCCACTTCAGTTTAAACCACGACCATCGCAGGTACATTCGTTCGCGGTAAATTGCCATTATTTTTCTTTTGATTTTACGTGCTGAGTCATCCTGAAAGACTCTTCCACAAAAAGTTGAAGTCTGGAAAATCTGAATGTAACATACCGTTATGTATTTTGTGTCCTGACTCCGTACTTTCCATCGTCTGATCGTATTAAGAATAGACGCTAACACATACAGCCTCGTTTTCAAACGCGGAAATGCGCAGATCGACGCTAAAAGCGTCGTATTGGGATTCCTCTATAGGCAGACGGAAACTAGTAACGATGAGTTTTTCTGCTTTGGAGACTGCACACTCAAAGACATGCCAAAGGCAGGTACAAGGACTGATCATTACTAATTTCTACGGTGGCCTGGATTTTACATAGGTAATAATAATGACTGCCTAATCTGGAGTAATGCCCCCGACACCTTGATGGTAATGGCGCATTCCTCAGCCAATACCTTTTATGAATATGCATAGTCAGGGTTATACGTTTTGACATTTAAGATGTGCTTTGCTTACAAATATGGACTAGAAAGTGGAAAAACCCCCAACCTGCCCCGTACACGCCGTGTCGGTGTCGGTTTAAAAGAACATAATAAGGCGGCAAATCGAGCAAGAAACACTCTTGTCTTTTGCTTGGCAATGTTTTATAAACCTGATACTACTACAAAACACTTCTCAGTTTTGCAGCTTACTGATCAAATACTACTGGTTACAAGTAAACTAGTTTACAAGTAAACAAGTAATTAAGCACTCCCACATCGAAGACCACAAGATCGACCCCAGCAAAGCCTAAATCCTCACTAACATCAATCACAGTTTTATGTTACAGTGCCTCGGTCTTGGTCCTAACCTAATGTGGCTAGTGTAGGCCTGAATGGCAGAATTTAGTTATCGTTCCTGGCTGTCTCTTACATTTTACAGATTTCAAGAACCGAGTCAAAATTGGAGCCGAAATCGAGATCCCGAGAGAAAGGCTTCGAGCTCACCCTCAATAATCACATACAGGCAAGTTTCCGGTTCTTTTGTTCAAACCACCATACCCCACGTGCATATTGCAAAAAAATATTCACGTATATTCGCTTAGGTTTTTGAGATAAATAAAACAGTAATATATCGAATTAGTTTTTCTGAGCCACATTGCGTTATGTACTCTGTACCCACACCATTTTAATGTTCCCTAAGGACCCATTACATTGACGTCCCGCTACGTTTACATGTGTGCTTTCTCCCTGCCAGCGAAGCGAGACACAATGATCAATCAAGCCCCAACCCTCGGAAAGTACGTACACACAGCGTGACGTCCGTAGCTTTTAGGTCTATTGACTATAAACGAAAGCGAAATCCTTTGCGATTTAATGAGTAAGAATTAGATTGCTTGTGCGTTTTTGAATGTCAGAACTATAGCATATATGGCTGGTGCAACTGGAGTCTTATGGACTAACTACAACAAACAACATGGTTCGAAAACAAAAGTGAATGCGAGTGGGAACAAAAGCGAAACCGTTGGGCACAGACATGAAATTTGTTGAAATTGGTGGGGAAATATATTTTAAATGATCTTCCTTCTCGTATGATTCCAATGGTTCGTGGCAATGCAATAAAACGGCTCACTGTCATTTTTCAGGAACTTTTCGGAGAAATTTCGCCAACATTACGGGCAAAATACTACAGTGATTTTCAGGCACCTGGAATCGATTAATAAACAGGACTGGAAACCGTATGATTCCAATGGTTCGTGGCAATGCAATAAAACGGCTCACTGTCATTTTTCAGGAACTTTTCGGAGAAATTTCGCCATCATTACGGGCAAAATACTACAGTGATTTTCAGGCACCTGGAATCGATTAATAAACAGGACTGGAAACCGAGTGAAGAAAAAACACGCGAATTCAGGTAAAAAACCTCCCCGAAATTATGCAGTATTACTACAACGAAAACTCAAATTGCTCTCAAAGCAGTCGTTTCATGATGTAATTTTTGCATCAGGTCGACTATTAGTATACTCATGGAGGAAGGACACAGAAAAAGTTTGAACTGCCCGGGTTAATAACATCTGGCAAATACCGCTTTATTGCATGCCCGGTATGTCTATAGCCAGAGCGCAGCACATGCTTGCTATGGACTACGGTACCTATTTCAAAACCATAAGCCCCCTTTGTACCCCATGATCATCGAAGCCCCCGAATTCTGAAATTCCCAAAAAATTATCTAATCTTTCACCCGTACCTCGGCCCCAACAGAAAGGAGCTAGTCTTGACCAAACTATCTAAGTCCTTTAAACTTCTTAAAAATGGCAATACACGTATCTTATGGGGGAGGGTGCAAGTTGCTCCTGCCTACCCTCTTTATTGGACACACAACTGGATATTTCAAGGTCCCATTTAAGATTAACGCATAACTCTATTGAAATTTAGCCAAGCCCGTGCGTTTTACGTGTTGAAAGGCAGCTTGTGCTTTCATGTACTATATTTTCGTAAGCAAATTTTGCAATCGTTTCTATGAAAAAACGGAATTCTTTGCAGGTTCAACCTAGCCTCGGTTCAGGGATCTGAGACAGACATTGGACGAAAGACCAACTTCACAACTCTAAAAGGGATCGTAATAAAGACACCCCAATTATTATATGTAACTGACCTAGTAAATGTTTTTATTTAAGTTCCGTACATTATCCATTACAGGGTTTGGTTTCAAAAACCAGGAAATCAGTCGGGTACGCATTCATGTTTTCGTATGGGTAACAAATCATTTTTCAAGCCTCTTGTTGGGGTTTTGTGCAAAAACGTCCTGATTTATGAAGTCAGAAATTTTGGGATAATTAGCCCCTTCACATAATCATTTTCCATTTTTTCTCCCCACCTTACAGTCTGAAAAAATTAACAGTTCCGTCCGTGATTTGATACCATTCTGAAACAATTCAAGGGGTAGCTTCTTGTGGCTGTCGGCGTTTTCTGAATGGACAAATATTCCGATCATAACCAAAACGTTACAGCTTACTTCCCTGTCCAAGATGGTTCAACCAGTACTTGGTCATCCAGAACACTTCCTCTCTGTGTCGAAGCTGTGGCGAAAGACTGTGAAGGAAGAACACACATGGCCCACATGAGGTTAAGGAGAAGAAAATACAATCTTTTACCCTCCTTAATTCTGTCGAAACAACCGAGATTTGGAAAGCGATTTGACGCTCAGCAAATTTCCATAAATGAGCTGAAACGGCAGGATTTTTGTCCCACGTCATTACGCACTCCTGCTGTTGGATCAAAGAGATAATATGCCATATGTAACAATTTTATATTCATGATGATGGATCATGGAAGACAAGTTTAATGAGAAACATTGCATTTTGTCGGATTACCGAGAAGATGGCCAATACGATCCAACAATATTTACAGTATCAATTCCGAATCCGATCCCCATTCAACTGAATCGCGTTTAATCCAATCCGATCTAAGGTCGGATTGCGTGGGGATCAGATTGGATTGGAAGTATACATCTTTACTTCTAACCTCCAAAATGCTTGGTCTGAAATCGAATTGAAATGTGCACAGTATAAGGCTATTTTTATCGAGTGATGCCCAACGCTGACTTGACTTTCCACACCCCCCCCCTTTTTGTTGGTTGCTACAGACCACGTCACAAATACCCTATCTTTATTCTAGTCCTTAGGTTTGTACTTGATCCTATCCCTCGTCGATGTTTGTGATCAAATCAATGTCTTCGGTTTCCGGCCGTACTTAGTCCCAACGGCCATCAACGACAGTGATGTCCCCTACCACTACCAAAATAACATCACTGGCTTTGAAGCAGAGTTCAAGACATTAGCCAATCTTCACAAGCAAGTAATAATTAACATACATTTCGGTTCATGTATATAATAAAAAAGCAATCAACAGTTCCAAATACTTTGAAGTATAAATTAATTATTTGTTTGTTTCAATTACACCTAAAGATACATGCTCGCTTCTGTTTTTCTTTCATTGCTATTTTCTTATACAACTATGTTTAATATTGCTGACGTTCTGTCATCACAATATACACATTAGCAACTTTGGTAACAATGTTTATTTTGGTGTCTGCTTAGGCCTATCTAAATTCCAGCAGAGATAATTTTCATTACATGTGACAATCACCGAAACACCAACAATTCAAAAGGGGAGGATAACACTAGCGTGGTAGATAAAGACCAATTCATTCAGATCGCAGTACGGTGAACCAGAATGTTTTTGCAAATAAAAAAAGTATTAAGTTATAAATTTAAAAAATCCTTTGAGAAAAGATGAATTTAATATCAAAACGTAATAAAAAATGACGTGGTGAAGTCAAATGAGTTTCGGGTATTTTAACTGTATTTGGCACATTCACAAGGAAATTCACTCCTAACAGGCGATGATACATCCCACTGAAATCCATAATCTGCACTCGGCAAACTCCTCACTCGGTGACTTCAGGCTGAGATCACTAAAATATCTCACAAGTTCCAACTTGGGCCGTGTTTGTTTCACAGGAATCGGGATCATGATCACTGACTTGTCGTTGGTTTACGGACACCAAAACTCATGTGATGGATGGTGCAACTTGAACAGCGTAGGATCGCTAATTGAGATCCAGATCCTTGTGAAACAAACGGCGGCCCGAAGGATTCCAGATGACAACGAGCACTTCAAGCAAGGCAAATACTGGGCACTCTCTCTGCCGCCCAGTCTCTCAGCCTTCTTTGATGAGATCTCAGACAGAACTCAGGAACCTAGCCATTAACTTTACTCAAACAATCTCCCTCAGTATGTTCTATCGTCATTCCCTTCTGGCTGATTCTGAAAACGCACAACAGACTACTAAAGTCACCTTTTGCGGATGATACAGAATTTAGCACAGCGCCCTTACTTTTACCTTCGTATGCTTCTGCGCAACTACATGTTTATGTCAGCTCCGAACTTGAGATTTTTTGCAAATACATGTACACACGGCGGCTCCGGGGAACTTACACAGCGGGCGCATACTTGGCAAATGCCACTGTCAAAACCAGAGTACCACGCACTAATTGCCTGGCATGCACAGCACGCTCTAGACATAACATCAATTTGCACCAGTCCTGCGCTGCTGTCTATAATGCGTACATGTATGTGTATGGTTACAATGACGGAAGGCGCCACTAAAACTGATATCGTGCTTGTGCGTGCTCGGTGCCCTGCACAGTTCATAGACAGTGTCAATTTGGGTAAATATTTGGGTCAATTTTGGTAAACTCCCAATATCTTCAGTTGTATGAGCCATTGCGCTACATGATACGACGTAAATAATGCAAACATCCCGCAAGTTTCCTCATTGGAAGTAGATCATTGGGCAGTTCATTGTGACGGGAAGTCAAGAATTCAAGCAGCTATATAGTGTCAGCGTGCTGAGGTTCACTAAGCGGATGACAATGCAGACATACAGATTTGCGAGCAGAGGCTGGTAGCCACACTTTGCAAAACATAAGGTTTCGTTTTGTTCAGCTTTATCCTGGCTGGAATTGCTGTTGTTTTTATCTGTGATTGGTGAAATTTCCAAACTCGTAACTCGTCCCTTTTCCTAATAATAGCAAGAAAATCGAAAAAGGGAAGAACTAAAAACATTTATATTCAAATTTGTATACGAAAAAAAAATCATAGAATAAATTGGAAGAAGTTTCACTTACCATGAATAACCGCCTTCATCGAGATAACAGTGGGCAGGCGTAGCTATAATACGATTTTACTACATGTACATAGTGTGCGTGTGTATATGTGTGTGTGGGGCGAGGGGTCGGAACATGGGGGCACCAGCATCTTATTGGGACACCAGCTTTCAGTTGTGTGTATTTTGGGGCAAAGCTTTTGTTATAGCCTTTTTCAATTCACCGGGGACATACCCCCAGCCCCCCCCCGTGGCTACTTATTATCTCGATTAAAAGATTTGTTATCTCGTTTAAAGACATTGCTATCTCGTTTTAACGACATATTGCAACTTCGTTCAATAACGACATTGCTTTCTCGTTTTAACAACCTAATATCTCGTTTAAACAAGATAATAAGTCGTTTAAACGAGAAAAATAACTTTTTTCGCGTTGGCAGTAATACGCTTCCGTAAACCACTGATCCTGGAGCATGCGTTAAACTAAAATAATGTGTAGTCTGGTTTCCGGCCCAAGGGTTTCCTGACGACTCTTGATTGAAACTCTTAGCTCAGGCATCAGGAACGGACATAAAAAGATATGACGCAAGGGTCAGAGTCAGGTAGCAACATGAGGCTTTAATTTCTCATATCCAGTGGGCAATACTGCAAGTGTATCCCCACTGGGAGCATGTTGCAGGCACAGAGCTTGCACTGGTCAAAGAGAGTTACATTCTGCATTTCGCCTGGCATTTCGGCCAAGGTTACCTTTGATTTCAGTGTGTAAGGTCAAATATTGATGGATCAACTGCTTCCATTAGGATACGAGAGTTTGCGTTCAACAGCTAGCCTACCTACCCGGCTGGGAATAACCGAAAATCAACTACACTATCTGAACATGCTAAATATAAATGGGACGACAGGGGAATATTTGGGCTATTTCTTGGTCACGTGGACATTGGGTAGTACCGGACCCTTGATTCATAGAGTAGTCAGAATCATCGGGTCTGATATCCAGACTAAAATAATGTGGAGTGAAATTTATGGGGCGCCCTTTATGACTTTATCAGTGTGGGGGAATCAGCCCGAACTTTTTTTTTCTGACACAAGGATGAGAAGCACTCTCAATTTGTCCATTGTGCTTATGTTGTTGCTAGGCAACGGGATGTTGATTTACGTTAAACTTCATTATGTCCCTGCACGTGTACTGGAAATAGGTCCAGGTCCCTTTTCGTAATAGTTCACATTTTTAACTGGAATACCTTCCGACATTCTTTTGTCGTCATTATGACACTTTTTCAATAACTTTTATGCCAGTTGGGGGGTACTGTACGATTACTTATCGTTTATCCGGCGCATGGATATACCAACTCCACCCACTTTCTTGCTGGGCCCGAAGTCGCAGTGACTCAATCTCTTTCTCCGCTGCGGGTGCCTAGAATGGAGGTCGGCCACTTCTGCTGGGGAGTTTTGGAGAATTTGCACTCTTTTTCCGCAGCGTTTCCGGCTTGCAGGCCACTTTTTGTGGGCCTGTAAGTCCTCGGCGACCAGGTGAGTTTGTTTGGGGGTTGTTAGAGTGCATTTGTGTCGGGAATGTGTAATCCGTTATCATTAATGACTCGTGACTTTCCTGTATGTCATGCATACGTTGTAATTTAGTGTGCGTGCTGCAGTCACATGGGTGGCTAATTAGAATAACCCACTGTGATAGCAAAATTTGGGAATGTCGTGAGTTTAAATAATACGCGTGCAATCACGTTAGTGTGTGAAGTGTATCACATGGCGTGCAGTGCTGAACATTAAATTTGGCATATTCCAGTGAAGCAGATGGAATACCGAGTCCGCCTGGGCTTTACTGCCACCTAAATGTAATTTATTTCAAATTTGTATTCCTTATGTAATCAATTAAGGTTTATTCATTTGTAGTATTTTGTTTTGATAGACGAATCTGTGACAACAATAAACTCACTCATCACAGCAGATTTGTGTCCGATCCATCCCTTACCCTGAGTTTATTCTCCACCCCGTGCATACTTGAGTTCCTCTCAGGGGGGGCACGCAAGCGCTGCCACTACATTAGTACAAAACAATATCAAACGATAATAAGATATACATGTATATGATGAAACTAATATATATAGAATGTGAAATTAATATAAAATAAAACAAATATAGTAGAACTGGTCGGTAGATGGCGCTCCGTTTTATATATTTTACGTTTCCGGTCTATACAAATTACATTTTGCTTTATACCACAACCGGTGTGGCGTCGAGGTGGCGGCGCTTCGTCCTATTTAATTTATTTCGCTCTATATTTTTAGTTTTGCTCTATATTAAATTTTGTAACTTTCATTATATATAAATATATTAATTTCGTCCTGTATATTAGTTTTTGTCCTCTATATTTTTTCGTTCTATATTTATAAGTTTCGTCATTTACATATGACTTTTGTCCTATATTTATAAGTTTTTGTCCTATATAAATCACTTTTGTCCTTTAAAGGTTTTTGTCCTATATATATAGATTGGTATGTTATAGTGTCGTCATATATATATTTCTTTCGTCCTCAATATATTTGTTTCGTTTTTTAGTTATTTCACATTCGTTCTACATATATTAGTTTTGCCATATATATATTTTTGTTTGATTTTTTTTGGGTACTAATAAAGTTACAAAGGGCGCCCCATAGAAATTAAACCACGAGGCCGAGCCTGCCAGGGCGCAATACGTTATTTCACACTGTGTCCACTGACACCCGCTGCAGCTGATGCATGATCCGATATACTAGTCTAGTGTTCGTGTTTGTGATCCATGCGTCCGGTTCTGTCGATCAGCTGAATAATCATAATCAATGCACCATGTGATCGCAGTTATGCTATTTAACACAGTTGACACTTTGTCACAAAATATAGCTCGCCGGGATGCAGACTACATCCTAGAAGTCCATGGAACACTGCATTGTTGGTTTCGTTTTCGCCTTTCTTGTAAAGGAGACACCAACCTTTGAATTAAATGATTTAAATTACATTGTTTTATTATGGGTGAGGCACGGTATGACTTCAGAGCAAGAAAGTCGAAGAGACGGGACCAGCACATTATCAGCATGAGTAGAAATATCCTAAGGAGGGCCTTACTTCGGTTAAGTCGACCATTAAGGACTCGTACCTGCAAAGCTGCCATTCTGTTATGTTTCCTTTCACTGGCTGTCGTCAGTCTTGGTCTTCTGGACGGTTTTGGAATAGGTAACTCAAGGCACTGGTCACCTACCACGAGCTATGGGTTAACTGGACATAACACCCAACAGTACGATCTAACTAACACTTCCAATCACCTCCAGGCAGTAAGGTAAGAATACGATTTTCCCTTTTCTCGCGAAAGAAAAGTACAGATCGTTCAGTCTGAAGATGTTGGGAACGATCGCTCAATTTTACTGCTTATAATTTGTCAATGAGCCAATCGCCTATTAGTAATTGTTCCTAGTGGGGAAAGATTGTTCCAAATGGGGAAGTAAGATGGAGCATGGATGGAGATTTCATGCAGAATCCACAAATCGCGCAGAGCGATCGGGCGATTGTGCAGATCAGCTGATCGCAACCACAGACATCGTGAAACTAAAACAATTTGCTACATTATCGGGGGACCCTTGTCCAAAAACTGCGTTCTAAATTAATATTACTAATTTATTTCTTATTTATCAGTAAAGTCTAGCGCATATTTGCTAAAATACTGAATTGTGCCTTTTCTCATAAAAGATGAGACTTCATTAACATTTTATTTTCATGAAAAAAGTTCGCTGCAGGGGAACGTCAATTATATTTTCACGAAAACCAATTTGCTATGCAGCAACGTCAATTTTATTTTCATGAAAAAAATCGCTGTGGAGCAACGTCAGTGTAGTGGTGTGGCAGCCACAAAAACATGCAGGTCCTCTTCATGGAATTATGCACACCCACGTGGATTGTCGTCATCCTTCACTAAAGGGTGAGATTTATACATGCATATACTGAGAAAGAAAATTCAGATATGGATAAATCATGAAATCAAACTGCTAATGGTATAGCATTTGTTTAACCCATTTGGCTCAGAATCGTTAAGCCCCTTAAAATATGTGTTTTTAAAAAAGTACTCTATTTGGGGCAGTAGTAAATTACATTTCGTTGTGGTATTAAAATACAATGTGTCCCTTCTGTACACCCTGACCGCAAATACAAGTATGCGCGCAGTATAGCATTTGTTCATGTGTGAATACTGTTCATGTGGTGTGGTATATCCTGCAGAGTGACTTCCGCCGAAAGACAGCCTCATGCTTCCGGTTAAAAAGCTATAATATTATGGATCTATGATAGCCTTCACAAAAATTATTTCTCATGGGATCTGTTCGTTCAGAAATGAAACAGGAATACCAACAATCAAGCCTTTTTCTTCAGAGTTCTCTGTTTCGAGGGTTAGTGTTTGTCCTTGAACGGTGGAGTTTTGACGGTTGTCTGGATGCTATCAACATTCAAGGTTCGGGGAAAACATGAAATGTGGGTTGCTTAAACATGTCCATTGGATAATTTAGCGGATTTAGTGCATTAGCGGGGAAGGACAATGGCCTTATGAATTTGAGTTTGACCACAACATCTCTCGATTCACTCCTTTTTCCTCGGAGGTATGTGCCCTACTCAAAAATTATCTACAATCAGAAAATATGTCTACCTCGATTTACATGTTAGATTTTCCACGCAATGAAATTATCCAAGAAATTATGAGTGATATTTTATATCTTACACAACAAGAGTGCATATCTTGGAACACATCAAGCGCACGTGTAGCCTATAGTCAGTTGGAACTCTTCAAGTCTTATTGTTTACCGTTGCCTAGTACCAGGAATGATACGTAGTTCTTGTCCCTCGTCACTGGGCAATGGTAAACAATCGAACGCTCATCATGACTTCTAAGAGCTCTCTTGACTGTAGCCTGTAAGGTTTGTCATATGCCCCAGATATTTTGTGAGGCCGTGGGACAAGACAAGACCCAAGTATACATGGCATGTGCTGTTTTGTCATCTATCGTGCATTAAAACAAAACGGTGCAATCACACTACATTGTGCCCACTCAAAGAAACAAGGATAGGCATGGTACTACATGTGTATTTGCTAGACTGTTAGGAATGTTGGAATTTTACGAGCTTTTCCAGCTTGGCGTGATGGCATCATGAGTGAGTTCCACCCTCAAATGGCTTCTCATGTTCAATTTTCTCAAGATACAAGGAGGATCGCTGCTAGGAGGACGTCCTTCAGGCATGGGGAGGGGGTCACCTCGGAAGTGGGAAACATGCATGGGCAGGATACAGTGTGTGCATTAGAATGTGAAGGAGTTAGATTTTGACAGATTGAAACCTTTACAGCTGCGATCTCTCCAGCGACCCATTCAGGGCGGTGGAGGTAAACCCTTAAGTGAACCCAAACCCTCCAAGCACACTTGTCTGAACTGATATGGGGTTGAGAAGAGCCCTTTAATTGAAAAAAAAAAATTGGATGGGGGGGGGAAGTCACAGGTTCATCTTGATATGGAATTTGACAGTCTTCTGGTAGAAGGTGTTTCCATAACAGAACGGCAATTTTACTGTCTCGCCCGCTTGTCTATTTTAAGAACGTAATGTTAATGCTTACTAACACTTTTGACTGATTTTTCCCTTTCGAAACGAAGACCAGGATTTCTGGAAGATATGCTTACCGCTGCTAAAACGCGAACCAGCGGTTTGGCTTCCTGAAAACGCAATCACACGCAGAATGGCAGCATTCAAAGTCCTGTGATCCGACAAAAAATATGATTTTTCAGCCTTGACAATTTAGAGGCGACACTTCGACAGTAAGGCATATAATAATGGTAATAAAGGTAGATTCATACAAGAGAGTTTATCAGTGTATATCATGAATTTTTAAAAAACATACTAGTACATACATCAAGAACCACGGATATCAGAAGGCAAGGCAAAATGCATCAAAGGGACAAGTATCAAGTGACAGTAGACAACCACGGACAGCACCACTCAATACTACTACATCGGCACCGAATGCTAGGTAAGATTTGATAGAGTTGCAGTTTCGGCTACTTTTCTCGAGTACCCTAAGAGGACCTGCTTGTTTCAAAAGGTCTGGATCTCGATCACTGAGTCCCAATGCTGGTTCGCACTGTCCACTGTCCAAATTTAGGTGTCGTGTCCATGACGGGGATGACTGATCGTGACCCAGATCCATGTGAATCCGAACACGGTCTATTTTTAACCTTAAACAATAGGTCATGCATTGCATTGCTATATAAGGCATTTTGTAAATGATAAAATCGTAGAAATACCAAACTAATGTGAAGTGTAGTTATTGTACATTTCTTGCATTTTCGTTGAGGAATTTTGCAAAGAAATACCGGCATCCTTATGGGAAGAACACAAAACAGCTCTTCAGTCGCCTTCAAAGGATTATGAAACAGGACTGGAAACCAGATGTAGCCAAAACACGGGAATTCAGGTAAGGGGGCCTTCAACATTTTTGATGTTTTTTTAATTTCGATTTTATTTCGAAGTGGGTGGGTGGGTCAAGGTAAAGTTTTGAAAATCAAATTTCACTTTTCATAGAAAAAAAAAGCAAATCGATCTTTTGACTTGCGTGAATAACGCGTGCAGCGCCAGCATCCTTAAGTTTACAACTGTTTCAAATTCGTTTGCTCTGAGTTTACGGATATGTATCATGTATATGTACGGTGTGAAACTCCATGGTTGAAGGTTATTTTTTTCTTGGCTGAATCCGTACCGTCGATGCTGACTCCTACGAAAGCCAGTTAGTGCCACTGCTAATTTTTTTTCACAGCAGTTATTTATATTTTCAGAAGCAGTTATTTTTAATTGCTTGAGCTGTTATTATTTTCTCCAGGGCGGCTGTTTGTTTTCAAGAACTTTACGAAACAAGGTTTTGGTCGTGAGACGTGGCTTATTCTACGTTCAATGACATGGTGTACTACTTACGACAAACATTTCTCCCTCTTACTCCAGCCTCCCTCCAGGCGACGCAACCAGACGACGCAACGGCACGACGGCTCTCATGCGTGGTGCCGTCGGGTCGCACCGTCGCCTTCTTGCCATTACGTTTGTACACACACGACGCGTCGCGTCGTGGGTAGCGTCGTGCCGTCGCCCGTCGCGTCGTGCTGTCTTAGGTCCTTTCCATGTTGCATTTTTTCCCGCCTAAACGTCGCCCCTTCCGTCGCCCGTCGCGTCGTACCGTCGTGCATCGCATCGTACGTCGTGTCGTGCATCGTGTCGCCTATTACGTCGCCTGAAGCACGACGCGACGCACGACACGACGCACGACGCGACGCGTCGTGTGCTGTCGCCCTTTGCTTCATGGTGTTTGTAGAGGGCGCCTTTTCTGTTTTCTTTCGTTTCCGTCCCCGGTACATGCATAGTAGGGCACAGTCCAATAATTCAAGCACCATTGAAAACATTATAAATTCAGCACTGTTTAGAGCCCAATAACATGCATACCAACATCCCTGAGATTTCGGAAACAGAAATGAAATAATTGTCTGGTCCTTAATCTTTCAGTTTCGTTTCAATTTTTTGTGGGTTAAAAACCAATTACATTTTCAATTATTCGCACAAAACAAAATTACCCCCGAAAAGTGATTTTTCCGAAGTCTGATTGCAGCCATTTTTCAAGTGGTAACCCTCAACTTTCTCGGGCACTTAGGACCGTTTTTCAACCGTACTTTTTAGCCATTCTGCTCTTACAGGAAAGCCCAAAGACCCAGGCAGTTGATCCTGGCGACGATTTACCCAATCTCACCATTTGGGGGGGGCAAACAATTTCCTTTTTTTCAAAAGATGCGGGGGGGAGTTTAATGCTAATGAGCTGACCAGATATTCTCACTTGAATTAGTGGACTGCACCCAGTACATGCTCTTTGTACGCTGCCGCCATGGGCATGCAGAGCCTGTAACTGACAGCTTTTGAAATATCGTCCAATCGTATAGTAAAGATGGTAGAAGAACTAACGCAGTATGCCCAAAGCTACTAAGCAACATACACGGAAAAAGCTGCCAGATCGAGGCTCTGCCTATGGCGGCATCGTACAAAGAGCGAATAGATAGCAGGTCTTGTTTCTTTTGTTGTTCTTTTTCATGGTTACTTTTTAACTCTGTGTTTTCATTAAGAGTGAGTTGTTGAAGAAAATGTTAATATTTTTTAATCAAATGTAATTAGAAAGAGCGTCACGACTATCAGCCTTGTCTCCAAGGAATAAGTAACATCAGCCACTACTTTGTTTCAGCTTTTCCTGGTCTAATTTTGATCTTTCTAATAATTATTTAATAGAATTAATTTTGTTTCTCCACTTTTTGAAATCCTAACTCCCCCAGAATTAGGTCATACAATTTCTCAGAAATGTGTGGGTTGCTTGGCAGTGCGTGTGGGCAGTTGGTAGCAGAACTTGCAACCAACGACAAGAGTCCTTGAGAAGGAGCTGATAACTTCCCTAACCAGTGACCTCCCACTTCACTTAGTTACTGGACTGAACAGAGACTGTTCTGTTGTCTTTCTGTGATTTCTCCTTCCATCGCACCTGCCATACTTAGAAATTCGTCCCTGTCCTGCTCTAGGCAAAGACATTACCAGAGTAAACCTATTGAACTACACATGCATACGTTGCTGGACAGTGGGTGGCCTGGACCAGAGCCACATAAATTCCGTTCCAAAACCTAAATTAGTCGAGGGGAAGGAGAGACTGTGCATTTGAACCCTAAACATCATCTGCACTTAGCCCAACACATCCTCCATTCAAGCTCTTTTTACTGCAAGCCTTTCTACTGCAAGCTCTACAGCTTCTTGCCAAGTAAAGACAAGCCAAGTCGTCCCCAACTTCAGCAATAGATCGTCTTCAAACTAGGCCCTTTATTTATTTTCATTTTTAATTCATAATATTTTCTGTTAAATAGAATCCCTGTTTTTTCTCATTATTAAATATATGCTTTATATAACGTGAGGATATGCTCATGAAAATAAAAATAGCTGCTCACGAAAACAAAAATTACTGCACATGAAAATGAAATAGCTTTTCAAAAAAATAAAAATAGCTTTTCATGAAAATAAAAGAGCTGCTTTTGAAAATATAAAGATATGCTCACAATAATAAAAATGGCTGCCTTTGAAAATATGAATAGCCTGCTCACGAAAAAAAATAACTTGTCACGATAACAAAATTAGCTGCTTTTTAAAATATAAATAGCGGTGGCACTAACGGGCTTTTGTAGACTATTGTAACCGTGATAAATCAATGCACAGCAATCAGGCCATCTGCACCTTACACTGGGGGCATGATCTGACCGCAAACACATGTACATGTCGTCTAAAATAACTTTTCCATAAATCATTGTGTAGATGAGGGTGCATGGAATCAGATATAAAACGGCCGTCACTAGTTAGTAGTACTTTGCAACTGCAGGCTTTTTCGCAAAGGTGAAGCAACTTACATCGCGCTAGACCCAAAACAAAAGCCTGCCAGTGCAGTAACCTGGTTCCTACCGCAAGAGGGAGGGAGAACGACAAGGGATGGATGGGAGCCAGTGACCTCCGCGACAAGAAGATACGTTTTGAATTTTGACAACCCAAAAGCATGAAAGGCCGAATAAAAACTAAAGAAATATTTTCCTAAGTTAGTTCACAAAATGAGATTGCTCTTTACGCATTGGTATTTTTCAATTTCACATATATACGTTGAGGTAGCAGTGCACGTTTTTTCAGCGGCTCAGTATTGCTGCTGGTGTATAATATGTGTAGCCTACTGATAGGCAAGTTGACATGCGCTGTAAGTGTGAATGTGAAATGTAAATTATTATTGGTAAACTCTATTCGCAGGTTCTGCAGCTTGGGTTTGAAATACATGTATTGGATCGTATACGGTCGAGTTAAACCTGTATTGCACAAATTAAAATAAAGTCACTGTTTTTTGGAAGTATCCTATAAAGATGCATTGTTTTGTCATATCAGAGGAATCGCACCACATAACGCATGTGGAGATGAACTATTGCCTTAATCTGGCAAAAGTGTATCTAGGAAATATCAGGTTTTTCCTAATCGAGGCCCAGTCAGCGGAAGCATCTGGACTAATTAGTAAGGATGTAAGCTACAGATAAGCTTTTCGTTCCATTAATATAAAATGCATCAGGAGGGGGTGTTTCACCATTACGTGCAAAAAGTGGGTATAATGTAGATCGAGGGTTTCGCTTGACGATGTCAGTGTGTTTGTTTCATGAGATGCTTCGTTCTGCCGATGGAAATCTCGGGATCTACCCCCAAAAGCTTGAGATTGCAGATGCTAACTCAGACATGAGATATTGTTAGACATTCTAACCTTACTCAATGGAAAGACCACCCAAAGTTACCAACAATTTCTCTTTATCCCGAGAGAGTTTAAAAAATCAGCTTATAGTATTGTTTCGCTGTGCATCTGAAAGCCAATACGACTACCAAACCCTTTTTTAATAAGCGAGGCCCTGTCACGCTACACTCTTGCTGGTAATATAATATAACACATGCGACACATTAATAAACTAGAATAAGATTTATTGCAATGGATGCTCGTATATAGTTTACAGATTATAATAATACTAATAGCCTGAACAAAACGACGTGTATATTCTCCCTTGCATATTGTGATGTCATCTACCATTAGGCTGAAATTTTATACAGGTGAACTGAGCTGTGAACAAAAGAGTGACGAAAACAAAGAGAGTTTGTATGTAGTAGGCAGAGTCTGATACCATACCAATTATAGTGGATGCTTTGGATCCCCTATTACTGAATGATAAAGCAACTATTTGTTTTTCAAGCCATGTATCCAGGAAGGGCAAGACTTATTAAATCTCAAACTCATTGAGAGGTTTTTCTTTACTAGGTAATTTTTCTAGTATAAATCAACAGTTTATCCACTTCGGATCCCGGACTAATAAAAATATATGTAGAGTAGCCTGCTTGCTTCTTTTTCTGACGGCCGGCTAGTTGGACTACTTGTGTCAGCTTCTTGAAGAGGCTTGAAAACGTTCAGCGATCTACCGCCTGAGTAACTTCCAACAAGTTCGACTCCGTCACTCCTGAACTTATAAAGTTACATTACAATAATACTAACTAAATAGTTCATTTTTCTAAATGGCACGAGTAGGGCGGACATTCGGACTGAACTAGGAAAAGCAGGCAGTCCGGGGAATTTCTTATTGACGAAGAATAACACCTCACCTCGAGCAAAGATGCGATTTTACATGGCTGGAAAGGCTCGGAACATGACTCCATCCCTCTGGAGTTACTTGCCACAGGTACGGAAATTTCCAGATCTTATTATTGCAAGTGGTCAGTGACTGAATTCTCCACATTGCCTGTGTGGTCAGAAAAGTGATGTGAGGGCAATGGCGTAACGCTAATGTTTGCTTACGGTGGGAATCTGTCACTAAACACAAATTCACTACACTCTCCAGCCTGGTCATTGCAAATGATCAGTGGTGCATCATCTGCGACGGGGTAACTTTGTGCAAACACATTTTAATAATTGTGGGTCATGCGCCATCTATCATCTAATAGTGTCCAAGTTGAATCGAAGCACATCGATGTGCCTTGTCCTCAAATGTAACCGAGGTCAGGTGGCTGGTGAAAAACCATGGGTTATGTTAAGCCCTTTGCGCCGAAATGGCAGCACGGGGCTAGTATGCTCCCAAGGGAGCTGAGATGATTTCAGGAATGTTCATAGATGTGTGAGCCCAATGTGCAGGGATAATAATGGCGCTTTGAAACGTTGTGGAAAGAGCATAATAAACGATGTAATATCATTATATTATTATTATTTATGATGTTGAATGCTCTTTGTATACTTTCCTACATGCCACTGTTGATGTAGTACAAAGCTCAACAAAAATATGCCAAGAGTATGGTGTGCAAACTTGACAATAATTCCGAAATAGAGATATCTCTATAATTATTAGAAAAAGAGATATCACTATGAATAATAGAGATATCTGTTTCACGATTATATGTCAACTTTGCACGCCATAGAAGAGCACAGATAACAAAACGACCTTGTTTCCATGTGGAAGAAGCCTCTTGTGTTTTTGTTGGGGGTATTGCTTTTAATATACCTTAATGAAAAACCCAGTGATTGTGACATGCTGACAAGTAAGCATAATCTACCTCTCCCTGGTCGCCCAGGTTTCCATGTGAGTATTGATTATTGCCATCACCTCGAAGTCAGCGCCATCTTCAACAAACCATTAACCCTAAAGGACCACATGCAACTCAACCATTTAGAAATTTCATTTTTTTTTATTTTCATGTTATTTCTCTCAGAACGCGATCTTCAAACAAGGACAGTTCGCAAGCTGCAGCGTGGTTGGATCAAGTGGCATCTTGAGAGGTTCTCGTTGTGGGAAGAAAATTGACCAATCACAGTTTGTCTCCAGGTGAGATTTGGTCCTTGTTTGTTGAACCTTGTTTGCTGCCCCCACTATCCATTACCCGAGCTTTAGTGTCAGTAAACCCACGAAGGATTACTGATAGTAAGCCAGATTCGTGTGAAACAAATAAGCCAGGCAACCTGACTAGTGTTAAGCCAGAAAACATTTTTATTTTGCCAACGAGCAAGTCTACGGCGACGAGCGCGCTGACCAGAAACCGAAGACTTTTTTGGGTGTAATGTCCCATGAAAGTAACTTTATCAAGACTTGACCTATCATGACACGTAGTATCCTGATCCAGTGATTTAACCGTACTGTACCGAGATCATACTGCTCGAGTTTCAGTCATTTGGCGCCAAAGAAGTCTCTTGCTCTTGATAGGAGAGGTTGGAGGTAACTTCGGCCCTGTAATGGTCGAGCAGTGATGTAACAATTAGTAGGGACAGCAGTAGGAGGATTGCAATCATCATTAGAACAAACCTGATACAATTTATTCTTGAAACGAGCCCCTGGCCGAATTTCTCTTTAGCAGTTTGAGCTGGCTATTCTCTTCTTTCCCGTTTGGGTGACACACATGGCGCTGGATGTATATATTACACATTCTGAGGTGTCGACTTATTGGACTGATTTCCATTGCATTGTTGTTTCCTGAACATGAAACCACCACAATTCGAAGGCTTTGTGTCTCATGTTCTTGTAGGTATTCGCAGTCCTACATTACTCGTATTTCTCAAAGTTAACTCTCTCTAAATGTGAAATATAGTTAACTTGAGATTGCGATTTGTGACAGAGTAACCGCAAAACTATTTCAGTTTGTTTTGGCCATAAAGATGAAATTGTATAAATCCATACCCCTTTACGAAAGGAGGAGTTTATGAAATAAGCATTGTGAAACACTTGGAATGATGACGTCATAGAAAGTGCCACTATTACGAACAGAACTGAATCTCGAGGTTTTAGTTCTTGTGGACGTCAACAAAATTGATTTACTGTTTTTATGTCATTATTCATGAGTTCATGAGGTTGTAATGCGAATAAACATTGAATATGGTGTAACTTGACATCCGATGACGTCATCATGATGAAAATCTTTCAGGGACCATCATGTCCGGGCTAGTTTCTGCCAAGTCTGAAGTGGATCTGACTTAGCAGTGCCAACCTGTATATATAGGCAGAGGAAAAACTGCATGTAACCATATGGAGATAAGGCTGAAAACAAAAAAGGATATACATATTGGGTGCGTTCAATTAGCTTACACATGTAAGTCAAACTTACACGAGAGCGTTCGTTTAGCCATCACGTGATGTTCGTGCCTGCCCTGGTGTCAGCCACCACTACCCCAGCTGGCGAGCGGGTCTCTGGAGGCTGCCCGAGTGTAATGACGTCACGGATGGACTGTTCGAGCATGGACGTACATGATGGAACGAGGCGGGGACTTGACCTTTTTCCCAGAATGCCTTGGAAAACACACTGCAGCGTTCGATAAGCCTCATTTTGAGGCTTCCCTTGAGTGTAACACTGGTGTTTTCAGGGAAGCTAATCGAACGCACCCATTGTTATTTAGAACTTGGACCTGTTACTTCTTTAGATATTGTTGTTATAAAGGGGCTTTGTGCTTTATTTGTCATCAACAGAGGGCGGTATATCACTTTAGCACTTTCGCCCTATCATCCATAAATTATGTACAGCAGGTGATTTCAATATGGTGCCATGTCAGACTGTGACTGTGCTGTGGTGTGTTTCAAAAGTACCGTAACCATGGCTCGTAAATGTATATGTATACCTCTGTAACGCCAGAGAAAAGTCTGATTTATAATTTAGTTTTTTTTTTAATTTACATGTAAACCCTGGCTTAGAGTTAACAGAGAAATCGATTTATACATAATATGTACATGTGAAGTACTTTCTCTTCTATAATTAGTAATGCTGAATGAATCCTGATATTGCATCCCTCTTTAAAACCCCTTCCATGCAGTGGACTGCAAACACTACCACACATACAATCTATTCACCATGCAACAGCTGGTTCAATGGGGCCTGCTGCTGGACAGCGCTTTGCATACTGGGCGTGCCACAGCCCACTGCAGCAGTCGCGGTCAAAATAATACCGCCATGAAGGGGTTTTAACCTGACATTTATTACATGGTCACATCGCGCTGCGTTGTCTGCAAACAATATGTAAATATGCAATGTAAACTCGGGCACAAAACCATTCTGCAGCCAGGTTGTCCCTGTTCAATTCAAGGAGCCCGCTAATGCCAACAACAGACATGGGAGGAATTTGTATTTGTGCATGACGTTACAAATGCACTGGGGTATGTCTTATAATGGTAAGTCGTACCGCTGGAAATTTTGCATCTATAACAACTTGTTCTTTTCTTTTATTCGTTGCTTCGGCAACTGCAGCTTTTGTCTTCCATAACATTGTTCACCAATTTCTTACAGCAGATTTTGCACACGTGACAACCTTTAGCAGCAAATTTGTCCATGAAACAACGTTATGATGTCTTCCTAAATGTCACATTCCTTACAAATATTCTCTTTGCTTCAGTGATATGGTTTCAGGAAACACTACTGTATGACTACGTGATTACGTCAGAATTGGATCCTTTGCAGGTTCAACCTAGCCGCAGTTTGGGGATATGAAACGGACGTGGGCAGTCAGACAAACTTCACAACTTTGAATCCATCTTTTGTGGCAAACAAGTACGTTTGTTTAGCAATGAGTTTCTATTGTGCTCCTAACGATTCTGCTTAGTCAGCTGCACGCATGACGTCCAAAAGACTGAGGTTTAAGATGGAAAGATGAAGGTGCTTCATTACCAAGCAATGACTTTCCTTTGAGCTGACGCTATTGAGCAATACTTCGCTGATTGATGCGTGATGTTTATCGATTATTGTACACGTATTGTATTGTGTTTATTTTAGATGAGATGCGTCTATTTTAAATCTTTAATGCTTCAGTGTTTCCTTCATTGAATAGTTAAGCTGTGTACTGTGGCAATTTAGCCTCCGGGCTACAATCACAGTGTTTGAAATAAACCATCAATAATAATACTAATAATTGTAGACGTACTTGGAAGTGTGTGGGTAGTCTGTTATTGATGTCCCATTCTTATTCTCAACACAGTTACGGAAATGAGCGCCAGACATTGATAAACGTGGCCGTGCAAATGGTACAAATAAATGGATATGTATATAAGAACATATTATAAAGCCTGTTCCATTCCTTTTTCTGCCCAAGTTTGGTAAGAAGTCGTCAATTTTCTGCCTTCACTTTAATTTTGGTTCTTGGAACCAGGCAGTCGGTACTGGCTTTCTTTTGTCACCTGTAAGATGTATCTTCTTCGTTTGAAACTTTGCAATGTACACTGTACACGTATTTGTTTTTTGCTCTTCGAGAGAGTAGCTGCCTTTACTTTTTATCTTATAAATCATGTAAACCCGTGAAGAATAAAGTGTGGATTTACACAAACCCGATCATGTATTTTTATTTGCCTCCAACCTTGATTTCAGGCTGAATGGGTTGAAGACACAGACCAACTGCTCTCATTTCGGCAACATTCTCAAACAGTTCAAAGACAGTAAGCTTTGGCTGCCTATGTTCGGTGCTTCAGTGTACTTTTCTACCCTGAAACGAACCATGGTCACAGCGACTGAGTTCCAGAGTGTTCAACCAGTCCTCGGGCATCCTGATCATTTCCTCTCTGTGTCGAAGCTGTGGCGAAAGACTATAGGAAATAACCGCCTATGGCCAACAACGGGTAAGGTGGCTTTGAAGGAACACCATAGCGATATCGCTTTCTGTATCTTGTGGTTTGCAGTGTCATGAAATAAATAAGGACCTTCTCAACTTGGGCCAGTTTGTTTCCCACGATCTGGATTGCGACCAATGAACCTTACGCATACGCTGGTCTGCACCATTCATTAACCGATTTTTGGTGTCTGTAACCTAACGACAGATCACTGATCATGATCCAATCTGTATGAAATACACATGTGCACGGCCCTGGTGAGTAACACCAAACAGTGGCCGTCACCCAACGTCCTTCCCAGGGTATTTTTTTTACTAAACCATTATTAGCTGTAGTTGGTGATGGAGGCGGTTTTGTTGAACAGAATGAGGTTGGTATGGCCACACCGTGCAGACAGTGTCAGAAATTACTCAGGATGAAAACTAACCATTCATTTGAACACATAATGGCCTCAGAGATAAGCACGATTAGGTGTGATATTCATTAAAACAAGTCCGCGTTAAGCCCTGTCAGAAACCAAGCTGGCTGTTTCAATAATGCTCAAGTCAACTCAGTAAGACTGGGGGACGCGTGCCGTTGCTTACATGGGGATTGTCTGGATTTTTTCTGAAGGGAGCAAAACCACCTTTTTTCAGGGAAAAATTTCCAGTGGGCCAAACATTCATCAGCGAAAAAGGATAAACACCCTTCATCTCTTTTTATCATTTCTTTTTTTTTCTTTTCCACCTCTTCCCTTCTCTATGATTATTTTTTCCCAGGGGTCCCACGTCTCCTTCCATGCATACATACCATTGTTTATTCTCCATAAGCTGGACAATCCTGCAGGCAGAATTTGTAAACTCTTGCTATAGTCTTGTCTCCTCTCCAAGTGGTATTGTGCTTATTTCGACTCTCTTCCACCGCCACGCGCCCCTATTTGTTTGATCATTCAGTTAATGCTTTTATCATGGAAATGATCGCATGAAATTCAAGGAATGCGAGGCAATCCTACGAATAAAATGCTGTGTAACGCAACTGGCCGAAGGTGAGGGCATTATCAGTATCCAGTCTTCTGAGCTGGTCTTGAACGTTAGTTTAAGACTGGTCAATTGGTAAAATGAATGACAGAAACGCGATTTGCTTTTTCAATTAAACGCTACTCCCGTAGCGAGACGAAAATGATGATAATTGGAAGAAGAATTTTTCTTGAATTAAACAGCGTCCTAAAAGTGAAGTTTAGTGGTATTATTTCTAAATTGGATTCAACGTTTAGACCCTTCTTTGACGAACCTAAGCTTTCTTTTAAGCAATTTTAAATGAAAGAAGGGCGTTCTGATTGGTCGAGAGACTCGAGAAAACCAAGAAAAAGGGCGTGGTTTTCTCTATACAGACGGGGTGCACTACTAACGTGGTTCTAAATGACTGTCCCTAATGATCAGGCTAGCTCAGTAAGGGTCACCCCGCAAACCTTTTAAACTAGCTTACCAGAGTATTCCACACATTGATGCTTTATCACTAAAATTATCAGTAAAATTATCGAAAAAAGATGAAGCCAAGTGTCAGTGGTATTTTCCATAATTTTAATCCGACCAAACTTTTTTGTTTGTCAGAAAACTAACGGAAGGGGTACTGGGTTATCGGTGATTGTAGACCTTTTGGTTTTCTAATTCTTAAATAGAGCTGCTCGTCATATAAGCCTTGCAAGTTCAGAACTGCACTTTGTTCGTGGGGGTGAGTGTGTGGGGGTGTCTGCGAGGGATTTAAAAAGCAAGGTTTTCTGTCATCGTCTGAAAAAATGAAATAAAAAACCCTGTAAGGTTCGGTTTTTGCGACAACAGTTATTATATTTACGTGCTATGCCCCGCACCGGCAAGCTCTGTGATTGAGTGTTGAGACAACCGTCTCCACTTCGAGTCCCACTTGAGTAAACTTGTGTTTTTTTTCACAAGACTTAGGACAACACAGTGTTCATAAATAAATACCGGTGTTTGATTTTAAGACAAGCGAAGACTTAAAAGCACTTTGCTGTGACCCGACACTAGTGCTTTTTCGTGAACTTTTTTAGCATCGATTTTAACTCCTTCGAATTTTCTGTTGGGTATACAGAAAAGTCAGAACTTTCTAGCGTCGTATTTTTCCCGCAGGTTTGTACCTGGTACTGTCCCTTGTTGATGTCTGTGATCGAATCAATGTCTTCGGTTTCTGGCCGTACTCAACAACCATCAACGGCAGTGATGTCCCTTACCACTACCACAATGACGTAACTGGAAAGAAAAACTTGCATAGCTTTGACACAGAGTTCAAAACTCTGGTCAACTTGTACGAAAAGGGTATAATCAATATGCACTTTGGTGCATGTTTGTGACGATTGCCTAGCCTTCCATGAAAGATCCATCTCCAAATGGACAAAATCAATGGAAATGAGTGACATTATTCCATGTTTTGATATGCTCATGAAAAAAATGTTTCGTGCAATCTCAAAGAGACTCCTAATATTTACATGTCTTTTTGTCGAAAAGGAATATTGTAGGATTTTTGTCACTTAAGTTGTTGCAAAATTGATTTTTTCTTTGGATTTGGTGCTCTGTTGAAATTTCATGTTTTTATTATTATATCACAAGGCTGTAAGATATACTTGATGGATACTTGGTGCAATTTTGTGTGGGTATATGGACATTAGGTATAAAGAATAAAATATAATGTTTGATAGCAGTAATCACCGAGTCTTATAATCCGCCGATATTTACTCGAAAGAGCTTACAGCGTTTGCATGGAAAATGACTAGTTGCTTCCCAGACCAAATGCACTAAGCAGTGTTTGAGATTGGAAAAATCTGTATTTAAAACGGTTGGATTATGGCTGATAATACATCGGTTAACATGTTTATCTTTACAGCTGTGGAAGTCGTATTGAGGTGAATTTACATTTCTGTGATAAGCTTAGCTTTTCTATTGAAAGTACAGTCTTGTTCAGTTCCGAGCATTTTACGTATCACAAGCACGAATAGACTGTATCTAAGTGTCGGTTATCTGGTACTGAAAGCGGGTTAACTTTTCATTTTCAGAACCTCAGAGTAAAAAAGAACTGCAACAGAATAAAGGGTCTTGACAAATGAATGCCAGTTTGTATTGAGAATTTTTCCTAATTTATCTTATCATTTTAATGGTTTGTCACCCCAATTGAACAGATTACACTGAATACAAAAGATTCACGAAACAATGGAAAATGGTTTCCTTGTGATTAATGGATTAAGGGAAGGGATTTTGTTGCTTCACTCTGAATGGATGCTATTCACATTTCCTGTAAAAATTATAATTAAATGCTGTAGATACCTTCATTAAAGAAATGGTTACCTAATTTAATGCAGTACTCATTTTTGTTGAGTAAGCTCAGTAATTTGAATCTGCCTTGCTTTGTTCTCCCATAAACCTGACTTCCATCCCATTTGTTGTTTTTGTCAGCAAATCATCCGGTCTTTCTTCCAATACCTTCCTATATCGCACAGCATCTCTGTCATAGAGGGCGCTATCTCGAGACAGATCGCTATACATGTGACTACAAACAGATCGCCATAATTAGAAACTATCACAGTAAGGTCAGATATTAGGTTTGATCCTGGGCGGCAACAGACTAAGGTTATTATGGATGTAAAATATGCGTTATTCATATTACGTGGTGATGATCAGCAAAAATTATTCAAATAAGCTGCAACATGCTTCACGTTCAACGCATGAACCGGATATTTTCAAACTGAATCTTCAACTAACATAGTTTTCCCTCCAACACTCAGAGCTAGGTACGCATAAAGAATCCTTCTGAAGCATGGGAGCAGCAGCCAAGGTATTACCATAAACGCAGGTAACCAACCGACCGACCGACCAACCAACCAACCAACCAACCAACCAACCAACCAACCAACCAACCAACCAACCAACCAACCAA